GTGGTAAAGAGGGAAGACGAAGGATTCGAGGCGAAGGATGTCTGTCCAAGGATCTCTGTTTGTGTTGGACGTTGTTTAAACACGGAGTCAAATCGGTCGCGGGTGAGAATAGACGATATAACGAGTCTCGAGTGATATATATATTCATATATATCTATATGTATATATATATATATATATGTTATATAGTTCGGCTTTGTTCGGAAGAGAAGAGTGGTTTCCGAGTATGTCGATTATTCGAGGAGAAAAGATTCCCGCGTCACGATCACACGGATCATTGTTCCTTACTGTACTGTCGCGTTTCAGAAGTCGTGTTCTTTCGTTATTAAGGGGGTGAAAGGAAGTGTCGCGCGAGCTAGAAGCATTTCTCTCGCCGTTGGATGGATAGAAGAGTTCGATATTTCCCGAGTGTCGTGCAGTCGGCCAGTAGCCTATGAGGCAGTGCCTTATACAGTGCCTTGTAAATATTATTTTATCTCATTCGTTAGAGGAGGATCGTATTCGTCGGAGTAAAGAAAGTTCGTTTCATTGCTTTGTTGAATCCATTTACGTTTCTCGTTAACGCCTGTCCATTTCGTTTCGTCCCGTTCTTCTCATTTCTCCCCTTTATCCATGTTTTCGCGTTCTATTTCGTTTCTATTGTGTATATATCATTAAACGAATGTCGTATTTTAAGTGCCTTACGCAACAAGAATCACCGAGGTCTTCCATTCTGTTTCTTGTACGTAAAAAAAAAAAAAAAAAAAAACGCCAAGCGAGTGTTTTGTCGTGTACCGTGGTTGTAATAAGTACGAGGAACGTTTGTAAAATTAACCGAGAAATCGCCTAGTTTGTAGATTATATGTTAAGATTATGCGTATATGAGAGAGAGAGAGAGAGAGAGAAAAGAGAGAGGAGGATACGAGAGGCTGCATGTCCATATGTACGTATGATTGCGTTAATTTATATTTATATCGAGTGCGGAGAAATGAAGTTTATAATTCCTCTCTATCGTGAGAATAGAAAGAAGATCGACGCTTATCATTGCAAGAGTATCAAATAAATATTGATCTCTTTGTCAAAACTTACATCTTGGTCTTATTCGTTTATTTCCTCGTCTTTCCTTAATCACCTTTACTCTCGTCATTTAGTCGATAAGTTCAATTCAAGAATCGATCTCTTTAAATTTCCTTATTACACTTGAAATTTACTTTTCAAATTATTTTATCGCTACGCATCTTGCAATCATCTTACTCGTTCTCTCTTTTACTCCTTCGATATATCGTAAGAATACATAACATCATAGAGAAACGAAAAATAATGTCGTGGGAAATCGAGACGTTTAAAAACCGTTGCAAATGGGCCTCACGCACCATATGCATCGCTGCAGCTTCCAATGCGTACTGAGCAAAGGAGATGCCCGCGCGCGTCCGCAGAGGTGCTGCCATCTGGAGGAGAATACCGGAGGTTCTCCGAGTTAAACCGGTCTACAGACCCCTTTCGTAGTTCTGGCGCCCGACGAGGTCCCAAAATCCCTGCCACCACCGAGCCAAGCCAAAAACGAGGGTCTTCAAGACTATGCTGCCTCCTAGCGGTGGGTCCTCGAACTTCGGGGCCCTTCCACGTTCCAAACACGTGCCCTTTTCGTTGTCCAAGGATCACAGAGGGCGTCTGCAACCCGAACGAATCGTATCTCGTCGCTATATTTTCCGCCGTTGCGAATCGTAAAAAGTACAAGAGAGAAAGTAAGGGATTAGAAGTTATCAGCCAACGCGAAGAATCTAATCTCTCGAGTCTGTTCAACGATAACGGATTATCACGATCGAGAGTCACGTCTCTGTTCCAAGTAATTCCTGAGTGAGTAATTTTCCAGGAATTCTTGCTTGGAAAATTCTCAATACCAGTCTCGATGCTTACTACGTTACTAAAAATATCGTTAGTCGTATTTTCACAATGAAATACTCTCGGTTTCCAAGAAGTTTTTATATTTACTCCCATCTCCCGATTCTCATTTCCGCTATTGCACAGATTCTCTTGTTCCATCGATGACACGGATTCCTCTAATCGATGCTCAATCGTAAAACGGTTTCATCGGTGTTCGGGCCATAATTCAAACACTTAATGGTTTCGTTACGAAAGCAGGAAGTGCCGGCAGGAAAGTTGGATCGTCGCCTAGGCGTCTGGTTTTTGCAAGAAAAACCACTATACTATATCGATGTATTACCATAATGCGGCTCTTGTTGGCCGGTGGCGTCTCTGGCACCGCAATTTGCGGCGCAGAAGCGGCAGCAAATGGCACACGCGATACAGTGGCCGAATGACAAGCTGTACGGTAGCACCTTATTATTTCCGATCGTGAACCCTGGGCCCTGGGTCAAAGTAAATAGCGGGCTCGAGGCCTCGAGGCTATCTTTCCTGGAAACGATCGGCGAGATGATCCAACGATCAGAGGATTTTCCATCCGTATTACGTATCTCGTGAGTGATCAAGAAGCCTCGTGACGATTCGATGACGATGTACATCACTTCTCTCGGCCCATCATCGTTGCCACGATGGAGTGTATTGCTCCAAGCGACGCGTAAGGTTTCCAGGTATAAAAAAAAGATGACGATTTTACAGAGAGGCCGGCCGGTTTGTTGCATAAGTAGCAGACACGGGGAATTAGAATTCCTGGTTATCTGCACTAACTGTCGAGTTGGTTATCTTTTGTTACGTAAAATCTCGAGGCAAACAGGTCTCGCGAGATACGGGCACCGAGCTTTGACCGGATTCTCCTCTCCTAACCTCTCACGTACGATTTTCATAGGCAAGAAACGAGAATCGTCGAAACGTGGACGAGGCTGATGATTATCCCGAGCCTCGTTCTTTTATTTATCACCCCGAGGCCCCGAGGCTGCCTCTAATCGCCATTAGGATGGTAATCGAGTCGCATAATTTCTACCAGGTAATTTGATTTAATCAAACGCGATTTTTCGCGTCCTCGTTACCTCTGCGTGTCCCAATAATATATGCGAGAGAGAAAAAAATTGCGGGTTCGAAGTCCATACGGCGCCTAGTCCGTTACGTGGACTACGGGCGAAGAGAGGTTACGTTCTAACGAATATTTTAGAACGTAGAAGAAGGAGTTATATATCGAAATTGAGAAATTATATTATAGCAATGAAATTAAGGGAAATTATATTAAAATGTAACGTCGTTTGTATCGCGTTAAGGGATCTAAACTGGATGTAAAGCAGATGTTGTCCGAGTTGGCTTCCCTGTCACTTTTTAACGCCTTTGTTCCCTGCTCGTACAATCTTCAATAACTAAAATTGCGAATGACACATTGGGCGGGAAAAATGTTTCGCTGAAACAGTTAAACGTGGAAAAGCGATATGGCATGTAATTAATTAAATGCAACGATTAATACGGAAGTTTTACTTACGGAATATTATGCGTCTAATCTTGTCGTTTTTCGCATATTCGTGGTATGCATAGGAGATTTGATACTTCGACCTGAATATATAAGAGTGGAACGACGATGAACGTCTGTTATCTGTGTGTACGTGTTTAGATGCGGACACACTTATCAAATAGAGAAAGAAAGTGAAGATATGTGCTACGACTTTGTCATTTTTAAGCCAACTTTTGTCGTTTATTCACGTAATCAGATTACTCGGATATATATTGGACTTCTCGTGCCAATTCTTTATCAATCGTTATCAGAATTTTCTTATATTATTCACCAACATTGCGCGCAATTGGTCATTCACTCATTCAATAATACCGAATAATAAATACATTTCCTCCTAATATATTACATCTTCTTTCCAAAAATATGTTCAAATCGATACGATTTTATCCACCAACTTTCACATTTCATACAAATAATTTAATTAATCCCAACCGATACATAGATATCGACACGCTCTTAAAAATTAAAATCCAAGCAACGCTAAATCTCTAAAGATTCTGGAGATATTGTGTTACAAAAAAAAAAAAAAAAAGAAAGAAAAAAAAAGAAAGAGACGATAGTAGGAAATCCAATCAGCGTAATTAATAATTCCATGCACATTCAGGTGCAGGCCGTGAAAATCCGATCGGGCCACGGATACCCTCTAGGAATTCCCCCTTTGTCGGTCAATCAGCTGATTCCTAGAACCGTGCAAGAGCGTCTAGTAGCGGCGTCGAAGCGACTTG